TGGCATCATTATCATTTCCTTTAACTTGTCCAATATCTCCGCTCTCCATATGCTTGCTCAAATGATTAACATAGCAGCCACTTGCACTAAAGGAGGCTATAAAAACCCCATAGAATCACTACTCATTTATTATCACTGGTGCTCCACGGACAGGCACTCTTCACAAAGAATCTGATGGGCCACAGGAAAAAAAAATGATCAGCAATATTTGGTTACTTGCCAGAGAAGAGTTCTAAGTGGTTCATGAAAACATAAACATCAAAAAAAAAAAAAAAATTCAGATATATTTGCTCTTTTTTATTTAGGAAATATTATTCTAGTGACAAATTTGCTTAACTATTTGATGAAAGTTATTCAATAAGTAACTCCCTTTTTAAGAAATAGCAAAAGGAAACAAGTGAAGGGTTTAAAAAAAAAAAAGAAAAGAAAAACATTTCTCTTTCTTTCTAGCAATACTGAGGATTGAAAGCCAGGGTTGTGCAAATGCTAAGCATGCACTTTAATGAACTATATACCCAGACTGAATCCAGGGCCACTTGAACTACATTCCCACCCCTTTTTACACTTTATTTTGAGACAGGGTCTCACCACTGGTCTCAAACTTATGATCCTTCTGCCTCAGCCTCCCAAGTCACTGGGATAACGGGCATGAGCCACCACACCTGAAAATATAATTATTCTTAATGATTAAAAACTTTCACATGGTATGGTTCAGTTGGATTGAAAAGGACAAGTGATCAGTTCTCACCATAAAGAAGTATCTTAACAATGAAGTATCTTAACAATGTAGCATCTTAGCGCCACGAGACTGACTCAGCCTGGCTGAGTGGCAGCAGGAGCCCTTCCGTGGAAGAACACTCAAAAAGATAACTTACAAAAGTTTACAACTTTATCCATGATTTTTTCTGGTAAGGAAAGCAATGTGAAAAGGAAATCTGGGCAGAAAAAAAATTAGATAAAGCCATGAATGAGGTTGGTAAACAAACACATATCGTTAAAATACTGTAGAGTTGGTCAGGGTAGGCCACAAATTTGCCTCTAAGCCTTCTAGCAGCTAAGGGGAAAAAGAAGAAGTGTGACTAATTGCATGATTCATAGTGTCTGTATGATAATTTTTCATGGAAATGACACCTCAAATTTTCTCCATAGGTCTTCCAACACTAGTATTCACATACTTCCTTTGGAAATACGTTTCCTTAGTATTACCTCTTACTTAGTGCTCCTAGCCTAAAGCACGCATACTATAATGACAAATAAAATGTCTAGATTTATTTTCTTAAAAAAATAAAATTGTTATTTGTGCACAAAGCATGAAGTGCCGAGGGTGTTTCATATGTTAGATGTCAATGACACCCCACAGTCACTGTTTTAAAACTTTACAACCAAGACTTGCCCTGAAAATTTCTCAGACCAAAAATCTATAGCTAAGGCTTTTCTTGACAGTGTCATACAACATTAATACCATAAAGTATATCTAAGTAACAAAGGATGATAGTTTCAATACAGTAAATGTTCCTGAATCTTTTGAGAACAAGATGAAAATAAAAGTAATGATCATAATATTTGATATTAGGGTTCTTCATCAGTAGCAGAAGCAGCCACATAATTTATGAAGTGCCTACTCTATGCCAAGTATTAGTCCATGTACTTTACATCCATCACCTCCAATCCTATAAACAAGTTAAGGGTGTTAATATTAATTATATTTTATAAAAAAGAAAATAAAAATCATCTTAAAAAGAAAACAAAGATTATTAAGAAGCAAATACCTTTATTTATTTAAAATTTACAGCTATAATGAATTCTCAAATATACACAGAAATTGAAAATATATTATACTCCACATATCTCAAAAATCAAGATTTATTAATTACAGAGACTTTTTCAGATTTCCTTTATCTATCCCTTTTTTGTTCCTCCTTTGAGGAAGTATTTTAAAGAAAGCCTTAGGCATATAATTTTAACTCTACATCAATATGCCTTTTTTAAAATATAAGGGCAGGTCCTTAAATAATCACAAGCTAAAATCAAACTCAACAGACTCAAACAATAATTTCTTGGAATCCTCTTAGTCACTAATCAAATTTTCCTAATTTTCCCATAAAGTCTTTTTATAATTAGTTTGTTCCAATTGGAATAAAAAAAAAAAACATACACACAAACATTTCATTATTTCTCTTAAGTTTTTTTCCTATTTTTTGTTCCCTATCCCTGATTATGATAAAAGTAAATATCTTTATTTTAATTGAGATAATTTACATTCCCCAAATCCACATTAAAAATATATAATTTTAGTATGTGCACATAGCTATGCAGGTATCACCACTGTGTACTTTAAGAATTTTTGCATCAGGCCAAAAAGAAAACCTGACACACGTCAGCAGTGGCTCCTCATGCCCCCTCCTAGTCCTCAGCAATGACTAATCTACTCTCCATCTCTACAGATTGTTCTAGACATTTTCTATAAATGGAATCATAATTATAAATGTATTTTAGATGTCTATTAGTTAGACACCACAGACAGATCTACCTTAGGTACCAAAAAATATATGACATGGTTCATGTATATAACAGAGGAGATAAATGGTAATAAAATCCTTGCACCATGGTTGCCATTATGAATGCTTTCAGCTCAAGGTTTTTGACTTTTCCCTCACAAGCATTAAAGGGCCAATGATAGTCATGTAAGTGACATACCCATGGGTTACCCATATGTAACAAAAAGTTCAATTTTCTGCTGGCCATCATTTTCACAAAGACATACCATTATCCAAAAATGATGGTTTATCATAGTGGTAATGTGGGTAGGTAAGCTCAGCACCCGAGATACACCTCCCAGCTTTCTCTCCTTTTCACAAAAGCATGCCAAAATGCAAGACAGAGAAGGGAAACTTTATTTTTATTGATTCTTAGTATACTACTCAGAATCAATATACTACTGGCAGCTTATGAGGAGGGCAGAAGAGGGCAGGGTTGAGAGCATAAACCCCAAATCTGCTCATTGTCCAGAATCAGATAACCTGTGCACTTTACCAATTAATAGCTATGTGACCTTTGGAAAATAATCTCCAAGTCTCAGTTTTCCCCTATGCCAAATGGAAATACAAATAAGTGTGGCTGCTTTGAATACTAAACACAAAGACCTTAAGATAACTTGCTTACTAAATGCTGGCTCTTTGCAATAAATAATTGTTATTTTTTAACTATTATTAACAAATGATGCCTCAGAGCTGACAAAGTCACTTCAGTGTGGGGCCTCTAACATGTGACAGGACTGTCAAAGAGGAACAGATGAAGTAGAAAAGTTCTCCATGCCCTGGCATAGTGACATTTAAGGGCAATAACAACGTGGACTTTGAGGATTTGAAAATCAGAAACTTAGATACCCAACTGCTCCTTCCTTAGCCTTAAGAACCCCTAAAGCCGAGCATCAACCCTATGAAGATATTTTTGGTCTGAGAGAAGAATGCAGCTGTTAGGAGCTTTCCATCATTCCTTTCTGGCACTTGGGATGTAAAAATTAATAATTCAATAAAGACAGAAAGGAGCAGGTGAATGTGTCTGTGCAAGGGAGGAAGGGAGAGAAAGGTCTGCCCCTCACAGGGCCCACAGAGGACCATGGGGAAGCAGCCTACATTTCCCACTGCACTCCTTCACTCTCCTAGGTGGCCATAGTTGAGACTTTTTCACTCCCCCCTTATACTTCCCTTATTTATGTGATTACATTTCTCTAATATTAATGATCTCTACAATCTTTTTACCATTATAAAAATCACCTTACTTGCAATAACAGGTTTAGATAACACTCAATAGATACTAAGTCTCAAATAGAGCTAGATTTCACAGATTGTTTCTTGTGCATCAGCGTCTTCCTCTTCAGCTACTGCCTACTCTGGGTGTTCATGCACAGCATGGAGGGAAGAGGGCGATTTTATCACCATCCCTTTACTGGTTGGCTGTTGGTTGTTTTGTCTTTAAGAACTAAGGTAAACCAAGTTCCCAGGCATGCTTCAGAAGCTTTATGTGAACTATGTAGGCATCTACTTTGTAGGGAAGAGGGACTCTCTGCCTATGACTGACAGAAAATCCCTCTCATCCCTTGCCACACTTTATCCCCACAGCATTAGGCTTACCCCGCTTTAGAAAGTGATCTTGCTTTAAAAAAAAAAAAAAAAATTAAAGGAGAGACTTCTAAGTCTTACCAATGAATCTTTAATAAAGGACTAAAATTTGGAGGGGAAAGGCAAAGGAAGAATTTCACTGCCTATGTGATATTTTACATTCCTCTAAAGAGTCCAAATTTTTTATAATGTGGTAATGATTAAACAAGAATACCTAGATAATGGCTAAAATCTGAAATAGTTTTATCAGTCTAAATAATGTTTCTTTATAAACAATTCACCTTTTCACATCCATCAATTTACAGAAATATGAAGGCAAAAAACTTAGAGAACCCATATAATTCGAGCAGCATAAACTGTTATAGGAGAAAGAGATCATCTGAATTTGGTTGCCCACTTGACCAGCTTTCCCTGAACATCAAACTGCAAAATATTTAAAAATAAATGAGAACTGGGTGCAGCGGCACACACCTGAATCACAGTGAATCAGGAGGTTGATACAGGAGAATGGCAAGTTTGAGGCCGGCCTCAGGAGCTTGGAGAGACCCTTGCCTCAAAATCAAATATAATAAGGGCTGGCAATGTAGCTCAGTGGTAAAGCAACCCTGGGTTCAAAAACAATTCCAAAAACAAATAAATGAGAGAATTAAAATAATGAAAAAAAAAAGTCACTTTTTAGCTTCTCCTTTGGTGATAAGAAACAGGAAGGCAAGGAATCAAAAACTAGAAAACCATGCATCACCTGGGAAAAGTCCAGTGTGTACAGGAGAGAACTGTGGTCTCTTCTGGCTTTTTTTTTTTCCCCATAAGATTATGGTTTTAATGTAGAATATTGGCATCATCGCTTATTTTCATGATAAAAGCATAACTGTTTCTTACCTGGTCACAAATCAGTTCCCATTTTTTCTCATTGTCATATTGACGCAGTAACCTGGCTTTGTCAGGAGGTAGGTTCATAGCATTCTGTAAAAAGAAAAAAAAAAAAGGAAAAGGAAAAAGGTCTGTCAGTAAATAACAGGTAAGCAGAGCAAAGACTACACTGTGGCCCTTCAGTGACAGACTTTCATTTCCTAGTAGTAACTGATTCAGTTAAAACACCCTGCAGAAGTCATTAAACATCAAACTGGTTTGACGGCGGAAGGAAGCTCTGAAGTCCTGTGAGATGGTCTGCTCTTAACCATCAGACTTGCATTTCAGCAAAGGTGATGCTTTGTTTCTTCATATCACATCAGCCTCCCTTTGGACTCCACAAAAAGGGCAGAAGTGGTTCTTCAGAAGGTAACTTCTCAATTTCTTCTTAAAGCACTATGGTGCCACCAGGCACAGAAAGCTCTAAAATAAAACTCAAATGACCAGAACCACCAATAGCATCAACTTTTTACTCACTTTGATGAACAAGGAGTAAAAAAAAAAATGAATTTTTGAAAATGACAACAGAATTGTTTTCTGTCCTTCAAGACATGTAAATATTAGCGACCTTAATTCTTAGGTCAGCTACACTGGTGTATGAAGTTGAGTTTGCAGATGAGAGACTGACCCTGAGCCGAATGAAATGTCCTCACATCAGCATTCATACAACCCCTCTGTTAACTCATCTTCTGTAGTGCTGCTCATGAATTTTCCTACACATTCATGTGTTACGAATCTATGTTCAAATGACCAATCATATGCATTTTCAAGATCCTTAAGCTTGAGTCTGAGCTAAGATATTTGTGACAACAGAACAAGGAAGGGTGAGGGAGCCCCAAAAGGAATTCCAATCTGTTCCCTTGGCTACCCCAAAGTTCCCATGCTCTAAACAACTTAGCTAAGTAGTTAATTAATGTATTATGAATATTAATTGTCTGGCCCATGCTCTGGCACCAGCAATTTAAACATATGGATCAACTACAATGCAGTTCCTGATTTAGATCAATATTTTAGTAGACAAAAGCAAAGGTCTTGATCTTTTAATATTCAACACCCCAGCTCTCTCAAGGACATGGCTTATAGTGAAACAGCTCCCTTAGCCTGGTTACTATTGCATGTCAAAGGGCAAAACAAATTTAATAGAGGCAAAAGTAGGTGAACTACTCTAACTTAATGGCAAATTCAACTTGATGATTTTGATAGATTGAATTTAAGAGAAACTGCCTAGGTTAAATCTAATGTTCAGATTGGTATGCCTTGAATCGATCTACAGCTATTAATTTGAATCTAATCTGTCATATTTTAAAACTAATAGTCTGTTTTCCAAATATTTAATTTTTAAATTACCCCCAAAGCTGAGAATATCAGTTGAACAGCTTTGGACTCCAGAGTTTTCAATGGTACTCCTAAGGCTTCTTAGATACAAAAATATCTAAATAGGAAAAACACTTTCATATAATCTGTCTCCATGGAATATCTACTTAAACCAGAATAGAAAACACCTACTTACATTTATTAGTTATAACAATTTAACAGTATTAAACAACAACCAACAGTATTATTCAACAACCTGGAATAAGGCAAAGGAGAATTCCATGTGTATCTTTTGGGGATGGAATATTATTTACTGTTAAATAACCAGTCTACCTTTGCTTATTTCACCCTGGAGATGGACTTTTTCCCCTTATACCAGTTTTGACCCTCAGGTTAGTACCTCTCAGTATGATTATGCAGAAAATAGAAACAAGGTAAGTTAAATGAGTTTTCTTTTCCTTGATTCCTTATTAATTTCTTGAGATATGAAGGAAATAAGAATGCCTGAACTCCTACAAGGTATCAAAGCACTATATTAGGCATTGTAAATATAGAACCTTGCTTAATATTCTATTTCTTTTCTTTTCTTTTTTTTTTTTTAAGAATATGAGATAGATAAAACTTTCTTTCTCCATTTAATAGATGGGGAAACAGACCCGGGAGAACTTGATTAAGGATGCAAAGATCAGCAGTAGGACCAACACTTAAGTCTGTTAGATTCCCAAGGACATGCTGTAAAAGTACCATCAAGTTCTTCTGTGGCAAAGCAAAAAAAGTAAGATGCTCCTTCTAGACCAACTTTCTGGGTTGTGTGTGTGTGTGTGTGTGTGTGTGTGTGTACGTGCATGTGCGCGCGTGCACACACGCTAGGGATTGAACTCAGGGCCTTGTGCATGCAAGGTAAGTACTCTACCAATTAAGATATATCCCCAACCCCAACTTTCATTTTGATTAAACAATCTTCCATTCAACAAATGGTCATGAAGCACTGTTCCTTCACAAGCATTCTGTGCCATGCTGGGTGACACAGGGGAAACTAGACACACAAAGGGCAGAGGTTTTTAAATTCTGGCAAATCTTGAGAGAGGTTATTAGACTGTAGGTTTAAATTAGAGGATTGGGAAAGGACACTTAGAGAAAAAGTAGCAATTAATATGAATCCTAATGAAGGAGGAGGAGTCCGTCAAGTCAAGAGTGGACAAAAGCATGCTGGGCAGACAAAAATATTGGAGACTCAGGCAAGAAAAAAGTTGGTGCTTTCAGAGAACACAAAGAAAACCAGTTTGGCCAAAAAGAAAGTAAAAGAGAAAGAATGAGAGAAAGATGAATTCGGACATGTGAATCAAAGCCATATCATGCCAAGACATGCAGGTCAAGGTCAATAATTTTGATTTTCGCCTGAAGTACAATGGGAAGCCACTGAAAGCTTTTAAATAAGGACATAACACAAGCACACTGTTTTACAAAGGTGCTACACAGAGGAGTGGCTACATAGCAAGAGTGGAAGCAGAGAGGCCATGAAGGGGCCAGGTCAGGAATTCAAGTGAATGTCGGTGGGTTGGATGAGGGTGGTGGCATATCAAATGAAGAAAAGTGGATAGATAAGAGAAATACTATGTGAAACTCGCTGGTGAGGCCTAAGGGCTGCAAGAAGTGAGGCGCTAAGCAATTCAGTGAGACCCTATCTCTAAATTAAATACAAAATAGGGCTGGGGATGTGACTCAGTGGTCAAGTGTCCCTGAGTTAAATCCCAATATAATGCCTAGTGACATATCCAGCTTGAGTTACTAGGTACACAGGAGTCCATTTTATCAAAAGGATACCCAAGAAAAGGCAGCATAAATCTTGAGAAGGTGGGAAAGAATAAGATTTCCCGGTAGCCCTGTCTGGGTCTGCGATGACGATGAGATGCCCAGGCGGACAGTCAAGCATGTAGGCATGTACATGATTGTGGGGGTCAGAAGAAAGATATATATTTCCCTAAAGAAGAGCCTTAGGAAATGATTCTGAGCCTGATAACTGGTTATTGCCAGGAAAAGTAGCTCAACATCAGTACATCAGAACTAAAACTATACTTGGTAATCATTCACCAAGCATCTCAAATAACTCCTTTCATGAGTCAATACTCTGAGCTGCTCAGGTGTACACTATACAGCTTAATTCTACAGGGACTAGGAGGAAGCAGTTCTATTTAAAATCAGACAATCCGCAGAGGCCTGTCTGAAGTTCAGGGATGTTGTGATTAGCTGGTCATAACTGCTCCAAAATTTCTTTAGAGTAAACTCATTCCTTTTGTGCTATAAAGGGCAGGACTCTAGAGTCTAAGCTAAATGTTTACACAGGTAATGCACAAGAGTCCAAGTTATTTTCTGAGAAAAATATTGGCTCTGTCTCCAAATCCCTTTGCTCCCTGTATAAAAATGGTCTGCTCTTCTATTTGGCTGAAAATGTAAATCAATTTCCAAGTTTTCCTAACACAGTGACAGCTCTACTTCACCCAAACTTAGGGATATCTGTGAGACAGGACTCTCTTTTTCTTGTTGTGATCCATCACCCATCTAACATTTACTGGACTTTGACCACGTGCCAGAACATCTGCACTGTAGGCATATGAAAGAATTTAATCATAACATTGTTGCACACCAGTCCTGCCAAAGTCCCACTGAAGATATATGATATTTGAGTTGAAAAGGTTAGTGGACACTAATTATCTATTTTCTAGATTGTACAAGTTCCAAGCTACAATAAATTAGACCATCTCAGAGTTCTGTAAGGACAGTGTAGGGCAAGACTTTATTAGGTGGGCGCTGAAATTGGGCTCACTAGATTCCAACCCTGACTACCACTTACTACTGGTGATGAGGAAGCACACTATTTAAATCAAAAAGCCAATTTAATGAATAATCCAGAGTCAAAAAGCTAATATATGTAATACAAATCTGAAGGTCAGAGAATCAGGTCAGAATCAAAGAGAAGGCTCAAAATCAGTAAGACATATATTTAATGATGGTCTGAGCGATCTCAGGCACTTACGCTCTTTGCATGCATTATCCAATTTAATTTGTCTTATAATCCTGACACGTAGGCATTATCATCTCCACTTAACAGAAAGGAAAGTGAAGGTCAAGAGGGGTAAGTAACTCCTCTATGCATGAGATAGGGGGCAAGCAAGGTCTCAAACGACAGGGCTGATCACCCTTTTTCCATGGCACAAAAGCTGAAACCCTTCTAAAAATCTGACTTGTCTGAATTAAGCAATCTGACAATTAAACCTGAATACTCAGAGACAGAGTAATCAGCATGTAAAGGTGAAAGTGTATGGTATTATTTAGGCTACTGATATTTTCAGATAAAATACCGACATTTCAATACAAACTTCAAAGAACTTAAAAAATGTAAATGACAACAAAATGGCCAGGCTAAAAGTAGACAGCAAGACATGGCAGCAAGTCACAAAACACTTAATAAACCCTGACAACAATCAAATCAAGGTGCAGAGACAAATGTGGGTTAAACTCAGGCTTTGATGAAGACTCAATGAAGCAAGAGAAAAGGTAAATTCACCAATCCAAAACACAGCGCTTCAGATGACAGCTTCAGAGGAAGGCAGTTATTTCTGTTATGTAAAGCAGGGCATGCTTTGTGCTTGGCCTCAGTGTGTGGGGAGGAGAGCAAAGACGGGCAATGAATGGCACAGAGTGGCTATTCATATTTGTGAGAAGCAATTATATATCTACCA